CATAATGAATTTAATTAAAGTTCAGAATCTTTAATTAAAACATTATTAATACATGCCATTCCTATTTAGAATGGAACGGTGTTATCCGCACTGTTAATATGGTGAGATATTGAATGAATGTATTTCGCATAATGAGATTATGTGGAACAAGGACACAGACACAATATGAATTTCTAATAATTCCGTTAAGTATAGAAATTCTAATTGAGTCTACCGATGGTCATATATAGGATGGTCTTAATCTTGAGTTCTTAACAGACTCCTATTTATGGATTTATGTCTTTTGATTTACTCGGTACGGATTCTGAGATCCTGAATCATATTCCTTGTATTTTGGAGACATGATGAAGTAGGTAGCCGGGAATGTTATTACACGAGATGGAATCCATTCCTTCTTAAGAAAGAAGTAGATAAATAATTCTCTTGAGGGTTGATTCGGTACTTGAACCAGTAGGAGCTCCGATTCATGAATATGTTTTATGAATCACTGTCCATTAGAGAATTAATGGTACTCAAGGATAAAGAAGTAATTACAGAGGTTAACAGATTTTACCTAGCTCTAATTATGGATTATTTATGGAGGATTGATCTATATGCAATGACTATATCAAATGGACACTTCACAGTTTAGAAGTAATTTATATCTATAATTTCAAGAGTGCAATTCCAAGTTTATAGTGGAGTAACTATTGGAATTAATAGAATTAATTAATTAATTAAAGTGTTCAATTAATTATTAATTTTATTGGAGCTCGGGATTATAGGTCCATTAGTCCCCGCGTTGTCCTAGTAATTCTGCAAGACACAAAGGGCAAAATGGGAATTTTAGGATTAAGAAATTCTAAAATTAAATACTCGAAAATAATTAATTGAGAATTAATTATTATTTAAATAACGTGATTATTTAAATTTAAATTTGAACACATCTAGATTTATCCATTTAAACTTATCTGATAAGTTGTTCAATTTAGAAAATCAAATTAATTTAAGTTTGACTTAAATTCGAATTTGAAATAAAATTGGACTACAAGATAAAGGATGATTTTCTCTTCCTTCCCTATCCAGTATTGGCGCCACACACAGGGATAGGAATCCCTAGCATGGCCGGCCACAAGGGATAAGGGATAGAGGAGAATTTTGGTTCGAAATTCAAATTGGAGATAGAGATT